ACTACTACTACTACTAGTAAATGGCCGGCCCGCCGGTCGCTATGGCCGCTCCAGGTGCCAGCCGGCCGGCCGGCCGATCAAGGTGCCAGCCGGCCGGCCGGCCGTGGAAGAAATCGCTACTACTACTACTACTACTACGACTGCGACTGCGACTGCGACTGCGACTGCGACTACGACCTACTACTACTACTACTACTACTACTACTACTTGGCCGGCCGGCCGGCCGCTATGGCCAGCCGGCCGGCCGGCCGCTATTTGGCCAGCCGGCCGGCCGGCTGGTCGCGAAATAGCAGGCCGGGTTGCCCGCGCTGTCTTTCGAGAAACCAATGGAGAAGCTCAACGCCTTGCTAGCAAGTATCCCCAGGATGCACGACCTGCTGAAGAAAATTAGCCATGCCAAGGCAAGCGAGATTCTTGGCCTGATGGAGCAGTCCGAGGTTGCAAATGGCATGGAGGAATTTATGATGCGTTTTTGTGACCAGGGGTGTGGAGAGATCATGGTGGCAGTCCTCATGTTCATCGGCCAAAAGCTCTGTGAGGCGGGAAATTCAAGCTCACCCTCTGTTTCTTTGGTGTTGTAAAGTCTCTGACTCTGTAGCTTTGTAGAATTTGTAGAATTCAAAAACTCAACTCAAGTGGATCCATGTCCGCGCAGGTCTCTCCTTGCCATCTCTTCCGGTTCATCAGTGGCACCGACAAGGACAGCATTCATGAGGCGATGAGAGCTGAGTACCCCAAGGAGATCTTCAATTTCAGCCGACTTCTCAACCGGCATGATTGGGTGGATGCCCTTGTGCTGAAGCTGCAAGTTAACTTGGTGCACAGTTGGGTAGATGGCTTTCGAGTGAAGTCCATCTATGAGATTGCCGATGGCACGCCAACATGGTTTCAGAACTACGAACTTTTGAGGAAGGGGCGGGGTTCTCCTAACTACTTATTCCGATTCCTGTCATCATCATATTTATATAAATCAAATGTATTGTAGACGATAGACGGTGGATGGTAGACTGTAGCACTTTGCTTGCAGTGCAGGGCAACCGCTTCTCCTGGTGCTCCTTCTATGAGTTTGGCGCTGGCTGATGGCAGCGTAGGCTCAACCAATGCTGGTATGGCATCTCAGGTGTTGATTGACCTCCAAAAGTTGTATTGCTGCCTGGAGATGTACCGGCTTGAGACGATCAACATGGAGCCTTCCAACCAAATGCGGGTTACCTTCAAAGATGCTGTGTCCAGCGCTGAGTTTTCCTCCAGGGTGACTTTGGCTCTACGGAGCCATGCGGGGTTGAAGCTGCTTGACTTGTCCTGGTGTTGATCGGTTTTTGTTCCTGTCACAAGGCTTTGTACGGAGATGGAATCGTGGAATTCTCTCTCTCACTTTCCGCCTGCCCTTTCCTTCTCCATACACTTTCCTAGTTTTCCACCCAGTCAACTCATCCAAGGAGTCTGTGGAGTCGCATCGTGCTGGAGAGCAAGAAGTGCGTGGATGCAACCACTCTTGTGGAGAAAGGTGTTCACGCCGAGAAGATCATGAATGAGTTCTTCAAGTCTATGGTTGTCTGTGTCCCCAAGGAAGCCAACCAAGGCGAGGCTGAGTGTGACATTGGTGACATTTTCCCAGGCCACAACAGCCCTGACCACTTGCGCGAATCCTTAAAGTCTCTGTTGGCCTGTGGCAATGTCGCCACCTTATGTTCAGACTTGGGCCAACTGAGCAAGGAGGAGGGTGTGAATACAACCGAGACGGGTGATGTAGTGAACCCAGCAAGTCTTACTGTGCGCATCCGGAAGGTGCAAGCTCTGATCACGGCCCACTTGAACAAGCGTTCCAGGGACCTCCAATCTCAGTTGGCAGCTTGGTTAGACAAGCTGTGGCCTGCAGGTTACTCGTTGAAATCCTATGCTCCTGACACCTTGGATGGTGGTGTTTGTTGGCGGCTTGAGCTGATGAGTGCTTTGGGAAGCATTCAGCATTCAGCCTTCATGTTACATTACAATGTCCTTCAATTCAATTCAATTCAATTAAAATATCACGACTGGTCCGGCTGGTTGGCTGACTTGCTTTTTGTTGATGTAGTCAGGTCATTTTGCTCCACGTGTTTTCTTGTCCCTCAAGGTGACATTCGCCAGGCGGTCCGAGGGCCAGATCCCATCTTCGCTTGGTGCTTGCTTTGCTCCAGCCACATCTGGAATGATGCCCCGAAAATCCATGAGGAGGTGTCAAAAGACCCTCAGCTTTCTGCCTTCCAGAGCGTCTTCAATCTTTCCCTTTCCATTTGGTCGAAGTTGGAGTCTGAGAAGAAGCCTGGTGAAGCGCCTGTGGAAGGACTCGCTGCTGAGATTGTGCCCAAGATTGAAGAGGTCCAAGCCCGCTTGCTGAAGCTACTCAACGATGAGGGCAAGAAGTTTCTTGCAGATGGATTGGCAGCTGCTGTGTGCCCCAACGCTGATGCCGGAACCTCTGAAGCCTTCAGGGCCTCCATGGGCCAGATGTTTGCCGCAGCCACTCCGGAACTGCAGTCTTGCCACCGCACTGTGTCCACAGCCTTTCAGATTGCCCAGGACCAGGTGGATGTTCCGAGGGAGGGTGACTTCACTGCCATGTTGGAAATCATGCCGCGCCACGCCAAGGTGGTTTCTCTCAACCCCGAGTTTGCCCAAATGCTGCCGACGCAGGTGCAAGATGTGTGCAGCAATATCCAAGAGCAGGTGCGTGGCCGCTTGGCAGAGCTCATTGATGAGATGAACGTGGAGCTTCAACAGTTCCGTTCACTGGCGGGGAAGTATAGGACAGGGTGTGTGAGCGGGTGTTCCCATGTGTGTGTGGGCTGTGTACTTGTGCATTTCACTCGTTCTTTTTTCTGTCTACCGTCTACACCGTCTAATACAAGTCGTCGGTAGGCCTGTGCAAGAGTGCGCTGAGAAGTGGCAAATGGAGCCAGTGCTGTGGATGTTTGAGGACTCTGCCGATGTCAATGCCGATGTCAGCTTGCTCCTGGAACTCCGCACAAACCTCCACGAGAAGAGCAAGGGTTTGACCAAGATGGTTTCCTTTTGTGATGGGGACGAATCTTTGAAGGCGTTGTGTGGCAACATGAAGTTGCTGTTGGACAACGTCCAGGTTGGCCAGCTAGTGGTGCACTAGTCTTGCAAAATTTAACGCTTGAACTTGTACTGTTACTGCAACTTGTAATTTAGAATTTTCCTCAGCCCTCAGTCCATGGATATTTTGTTTTCCCGGTTGGGGGTGGGGGCTTCATGTGAGGTGGCTCGCCGGGATGTCTTGACGACCATCAGTGTCATGATGGGCTGTGACGTCTTCTTGAACAAGAAGCATGCCAAAGACCTCCCAGGGACATTGGCCAAGGTTTTGCATCACCTTGGGACATTGGGCGTCACCAAGGCTGACATTGGCAAGATGAGCCCGAAACTTCTCTCTCAAATGAATGAACTGGATGGATCGCTGGAGAAGGAGAGGGGCAAGAAACGCCCATCGGCCTCCCCTCGTGCGAAGGAGGTCGAAACTGCTCCGGCTCCGGCTCCTCCGAAGAAGCCAAAGGGTGAAAAGAAAGAGAAGAAGGAGAAGAGTGGCAAACGTCAGAAGAAGGACAAGGAAGACTGAGCCTACAGAGCCTGCGAAGCAGCTGTTTTTCTGACAAGATGGCCGGTGACCTGACGCGAAACTTTTGATGTGGCTGCTGTACGGGCCATCGGCCATCGGTTGATTTTCCAGACACTGGATTAGGAGCAGGGTAGTGAAAAGGAATGCTGCTGCCTTGTGAAGCTGTTGTGTTCCGAAGGGATGTCGTGGCTGCAAGCTTGAGTTGGGGGTCTGTGAGGTGCGTACTTAGTGACTTGAATAAACTGAATACCTTATATATATATATGATATATGCACATATTATATATGGAGTGGGAGATCATTTGTTTGGATTGGTGTCTGAGTGAAGCAGGGTTGGAAGATGCGATGATAGTTCCAGAACATTTCCCTTATAGTTTCAGAACATTTCCTAATAGTTCCAGAACCCTGTTTGGGCCAACAGAGAAAGAGGCCCATGCCTTACACAACCCATGGGAGTGTCAGCAGAGACGCGCCAATCCGGCACATCCTCTACGATGGGGTGGCCCACTATGACGCCCTGGTCGATGTCATCGTGGCTGGAGACCTGTCTCAATTGCAGCCTGCTTGGGCTCAGCCCCATTTGCGGATTCAAGCTGCTGCGCCTGGAGAAACGTGCGCAGAGCCAAGTCAACAAGCGTCGACAGGCAGCAACAGGCCCAGCGGCCAGTTGCAGCTTTGGGCAGCCTTTTGCACCTGGGCTTCTTCAGCCCAGCAGCGGCAAGGCAACATACCTGGATATGTTCTGCGCCTCTTGGGCATCTACGTTTGGCTTCACTTGTTGCAGCAATGCCCCGAGCACTTCCTGGCTGAGCTGCAAACCATCTTGCGGCGCGCTTTGCCAGAGCAGCTTACGCTGCCAGATTGGGTGTGGGATTTGATCCAAAGTACCCGTTTCACATATAGGATTTAGAAGGCCAGCAGTCAGCAAGCAGCCACACGGAAAAGATCAGCAAATATGTGTCTCGCTTGTCGTTCTTGAAACAATGCGCTTCGAAACAATGCAGTGCAGCCATCAAGTTGAAACTCAGACTCAAACCAATCAATATTGGAGGCGGTCTTGCAGAGCCATGGATACTTCTCTCGATGATTTTCGCCCCTGGCCCTTTCCATGGACCTACCGAGTCGTAGCTACGTCCTGGCCACATGATTGTGAGCTCTGCCAGCGGAAGGCTTTGCTTGGGGGGCCGTCGGACATGTGCTCACCGTGGGCGGCGACAGCAAGCGCAGAAGATTTGGAATACTTGTGGGGCATGCTCCGCGGCACCTACGGGGCTGCAAGGTACAATTTGCTTTGGTTAGATTGCGACGCCTGCGTGCTGGATTGCCAACAGGCGCCTGGAAATATGAACTCTGGGCGCGCAATCATTTTCAAGCGTTCAGGAGCATCTCAAATGGTTCTATCTTGCTCCCTTGCAATTGAAGGCGCCCGGCTGAAGATTCAATTCTTTACTTTGAGCGGCGAGGGCTTGCGTCCAGTCCACATCGATGCCAACGCGGATATCAAAATGGCAACGTTGCTTGACTGGGGGCGCCAAGTCGCCGGGCAACATGGCCTCCTTTCATCAATCACCTCCCCAGTTCAAGTGATTCTGGAAGGTTTTCAGCGCCCGCTGGATGGAGACACGCTCCTGTGGAGCCGTGCAGATTGGGGGCAAGGGCCCGCGACAGCGGACCTGCGGCTGCAGAGAGCGCTACAGGAACTCCAACAAGGCAGTGCCCCAGCATCCATGTAGGCAGAGAGGGCGCAGTAACGCCCGGCTTTGATTGCGCGCATTGACGCGCGCAGGGCTCGCTGTAGCAGACAAAGTAATGGCCCGCCCCGAACGTTGATGAATTTGATTAGCTTGTACGCCAAAGAACATTCGCTCACGCGTGCCCTCTGCAGCAATCTGACTCTCAAGCTTAAATCTCAATTCGCTTTTTGTTTGCGCTGCTCCTTCAGGACACGGGGGTTCTTTCTGGCAAACTCATCTCACCTTGCGGTTGTTTTCGACCCGCAGCGCTGTTCCTTGAGGACATCCATGGCAGCAAACATGACACAGGTGAAGACTTTGTGCGTGGTCAAGGTTGCCGGCGACGGCAATTGCCTTTTCCACGCCCTGGCCTTGCACGAGGGCATCAGCGGCGCCGAGCTGAAGACTGAGGTGATTGACCACATGGACATCATGGCCGAGGAGGACCCGGCTTTGCGAGAGGCTTGGCATGGAGAAGCCGACTACTTGCGCGGCCCAGAGCAAAGCCACTGGGGAGGGCACATGGCGATCATTGCGTACTCCGCGATGCGACAGAGGCGGGTGATGGTGCATGAGAAGCCATATGATGGCGATGTGAAGGTCGATGAACAAAGTCACCCATCCGTAGCTGGCAAAGACACTTGCCTGCACTCAGTACAGGTTTCTGCGCGAGCGAAAAATTAGTTTGGCGTGCCAGCGACGTCCGTGGTGTAGGACGGTGTCCACACTTTTTTTTCCACGAGTACGGACGCCGTGTGGGCATGGTGCCCAGGTCATCGTTGAAGGAAGGGAAGAGCAATCAGATGGTGGAGAAAAGAACAAAGACCCCAAAACCAACCCAAAACCAAGCACCCAAGCCCGCAGGCCGAAACTCCACCATCTTGTAGTCTTTCCTCTACACTGGGTGAAACAAGTGAAACGGAAACTAGTGGCAATTAATGGGCCTGAATTCTCGAAAGAAAAGGACGGCAGCGCATGTCTGTGGTCAGGGAAAGTCGCCTAGAAGGCTTCAAACGGACTTTCCTTCCCGAATATTGGTGACCAGCGGCCACACCACAGTGTGGCAAAACAAAGTCACATTGCAGGTCAGATGTCTCGCGATGCTCCAGCGCTGGTTGTAATCATGTCGACCAGGAGTGACAAAATCTGAGCAGCAATCCGTGGAAAAGACCATGCCTGTAGCACAACCCATTCAACTGGTGGCGCATACAAGGCCAGTCGCATGTTGCCCGACAATAGCCAAACCGTGGCGGCAATTCCTAGCGAGGAGAGCCTGCAGCTAAGGGTGAACAAGTCACAACCTCCCCGAAGGGAGGCAAACCCAGCACCCTTCGGCACGCACCGGTGCCACTAGGGGGTGTCTCTTGAGTCAGTGAGGCGCTGCGTAATTGCAAAAAGTGGTCTGCTGCGTGCAAGGCCCGTGTGAAACAGGTGAAACTTTGAACTCTCCTAGCATGATATCTGTACCTCTTTGTACAAAATTGGAAATGTCGGACATCAACAGCGGGAACTAAGGTTCCCCCTGGGCATCCTTCATTGCCACTATCTACCACCCGCCAGTTAGGAACGCAGAACTAAGGCTCTCGCTCCTATCGGCTCACTGCGCAGCGAATGGCGAAAAGAGGTCATGGTTCTACTTGGTGTTTGCGCATTTTACTTGCCGTATATGCCTGGAAGTCACCGTTTCCTAGTGCTCGGAAACTGACACTTGGCTCTGCTCACTACCTACGTCGCCCTTGCTCCTCTCCTGCCTCGGAAGTATTGCTGGCCTTTGGCGCCGGATCTAGAAAGTCTTCTCGCCACAGATCGTTTGCATCAATCGGCAAGACTCGAAGCCACGTGGGCTTGTCGAAGTGCTCGCATTTGTCAAAAGCATTAGACTGGGCATATGTCCCTCGCCATGTGCTGCTTTTTCCTTGCTTGAGGATTATTCGAAGGTGCGCGCAGCCTGCAAAGGCATGCCTCGCAATGTAAAGCAGGGATGGTGGAGTAGAGACCTCCTTTAGTGAAATACACTTGTAAAAGGCTTCTTGCTCAATGGTCCTCAGCATGCGGGGAAGGCAGAGTTGTTGCAGCTGCGAGCAGTAAGCAAAAGTTGAGCCTAGAATCTCAAGTACGTCTGTTTGGGACAGATCAACGATTTGCAGCTGCTGGCAGCTCACACAGGCAGCAAAGCCTATCCTGTTGAAGCTCATAGGTAAGGCCAGTTCAACAATGCCAGACTCTTGAAAACAGCAGTCCGGCAAGCATCGGTTTGGGTACGTTGTAGCAGATTCTGACATGCCCAAGTTGATGTTGCGCAGCGCCGTGCATGCTTGAAAGGCACGAGGCCTTAGCTGGGCTTGGGGGGCTAGCTTATTGCTAGGGCAATGTGCCGCCCCCACCTGCGTTAAGGAGCAACACTCTTCGAATACCTTGGTGCCGAAGTACTTGCAGCCTGGGGCTACCACTACACGTAGCACTTGACACCTACTGAAGGTGCCTTGCAAAAGGCTGACGACTGTGTCTGGCAGGTGGACGATTTGCAGTTGTCGACAGCACCGCCACGCAGCCTCTCCTACAATCTTGACACCGTTCTCTACTAGAACGTGACGAATTTCAGTGCAAAAGGAAAAGGCTTGTGGAGGAATTTTGCCATTTCTACTGCGCAGCACCCGAACTGCCTTGACTTCCCCTTTTAGTTGCCCCTTGTGCCCTGCCTGTACCATGCACTGCCTAGCGATTACATAATACTTCTGGTTGGTGCTGATTGCACGCTGGATTGGGTCAGCAAGGACCTGCAGGGTATTCGTTTGCACAAATTGCAGTTCACACCCTAAGGTGCTTGCGTTTCCTAGATGGGGGAGCCTTGCTAATACTGCATTCTCAAAGCTCCGAAGACTGGCATGCCCAACAGGATCCACCTCTAAGGGGAGTTCCTCCCCTGCTAGCGTAATCAGCGTGAGGGGCCGCGCCCCCGGCTCTCCCCTGCTATGTCGTGGACTGGCTCCACCTACTTCCTCAGTCATGCTCTGTACGCAGGATTCACTGGTTTGAGCCCAAGGAAGTGCGTGACAGAGAAAATTAGACGAGACCCTTCTCTGTTCGACAGCAACGATTCACTCACTCCTCTATCTAACGGAGGGCAACTATGGCTAGTTACTAGTGGTGAAGAGTACTGTGTTGCAACTTCTGGCCTACTCCGGACCCGAGCGAAGGCTCGCACCCAGACTCTGGAAGAGTAACAGCGGGGCCATGACGGTTGTGGATGGGAGGGTACTCCTTTAT